TTTTTTTAATAAAAAAAATTTTTTTTTTTCTCAAAAAAAAAAAACGGGAGGGTGTTTTTTTCCCCCCCCCCCCCCCCCCCCGACGGTAGCAGGTCACAGGTTTGTTGCGACGTGAAAACAACTTGACTTGACTCCGTAGCTTGTGGAGCCATAAAGAAAAGGCAGAAACTTAAATCAATCAATCGGTTCTAACAATGGACGCAGTGTTGAACACACCAGGCACATGGCCGACGTCCACAGGGACAGAAGAAGGTTGACCGACCAACAGACGATGAGATACCAGACACACAACGGTTGATACCAGGAACAGTGACGTCACACGAGTCTCGATAAACTCAATACCACGGTGTAGAGCATACATACAATAATACAACCGCTTCTTCTTTCTGAGCCAACAAAATGTGATTACGTACATTTAAACAGAATCTGTGAGTTTATGCTATCAAACACGAACCATAATCATGATTTTGTTTCTTCCCAAGTAGTCACAAATTAAAGCAACATCGGGGAACGCTCGACATGATGGAACCTGATCACAAAGAACATGTAAAAGGTCAACGACGAATATTTCGTCCCTCTTTCACCGGATAAACGCACCCGAACTGAGAACAAAGCCCTGTGAACCAACGACCTCTCAGCTGACTGACACCAGGCACAGCGGAGAAACACGACACGACTTTGGATTTTTACCTCCGTAAAGACTCACAGAATACTGCCGAGGCACATAAAGTAAGCCGTCAGACTTTATGGGGTTTTTATGGCATTCAAAGATCAGTTATGAAGTCAGACTCTGAACTCTGCCTGCTTGATCACCGCTAAGTGATCTGAATATGTCGTTGGTAAAATCTCTACAAGGGATCAAATGAGTTTACTGTAACACATCATGTCAGTGAGATTTTATGTTTTTAACCTTGCATGTGATTTAATGCACCACCAGTCAAACTGCTCGAACACAAAGTTAACCTGCATCAACATATTCGATGCAAACGTGTGCGTGACTGACCTCCAGCTCCGTCTCACATCTGTTGATGTCGTCGGTGGACTGGTTGAGTTTCTCCAGCTCCCCCTGGAAGAGAACCACAGAGAGGTGAAGCAACAGAAAGAGACGGAGGAGAGAGAGGGGTGCAATATGTAACATCTGGATGTATAAGAGGGGGCACCTGGCAACATCTGGACTGAATCAAGAGGAAGAATTAACAGAAAATATTCACATTAAACTGTCTGGTGTTTACAATAGTCCATGTTCTTCAAGAAGAATACAACTCCAGCTGTGAATTAGTCTAATATTAAATAACAAATAACCCAATTCATGTTTTAAAGGATGCACCAGGCGGCAAACTCCGGTTCTGCCGAGTAAAACCTGCATTCTATCCAGTGTCCAGCAGGGGGCGACTCCTCTGGTTGTATAGAAGTCTATGAGAAAATGACTCTACTTCTCTCTTGATTTATTACCTCAGTAAACATTGTAAACATGAGTTTATGGTCTCAATCTCTAGTTTCAAGTCTTCTTCAATACAGCATGATGTTCATTTAGTACATTATGGTCCATTTAGAGTCACACAGACCATAAAGCAGGGGATGCTTTAGGGCGGGGCTACACGGTGATTGACAGGTCTCTACGTCACTCCTCCTCAGTCCTAATTCGTTCATTGGTTGCGAAAACAACAACAACAACAACAACAACAACAACATGGAGACGACCGTAATCCAAGATGACGACGTCAAAATCACCGAACTGAAGGCTTCAAAACATCGGTCCACAAACCAATGGGTGACGTCGCCACGACTATACATCCACTTCTACGGTCTGTGGGATGCACTGGTTGGACATTCTCTCTCCTGGTACAGATTCCGAAACCTGAACGATTTCTACTCCGATACCTCTTCACCAAATTTAAAATCCGTGTCTCACCGTGAGGAAATCATCGGCGTTGTTTTCTATGAAAGGTAACATGAATCCAAAGGTGCTGTGGGAGGAAATACTGAGCTCAACAGCTGTATTCAACGTTCACATCTGGACGACAGCTTAATGAGCTCAGTATCCACCTCGATACCAATCCGGCCAACAGTCACTTCAATAAAAACAACAATGTTCTAATTATTCAAAATCACTTTAAACTAAATCCTTGTTTGGTCACTGCGGTTGAGGTGACATCACTTTGGGCTTTTGATACTTGTCGTTATCGTTATTGGATCAATTTGCCTCTTAAAAGATTATTCAAATAACACAAAGGGAGGAAAACATCTTTCTCCGGCAGACGAATGTGACCGGTGAGGAAGGAGCACAAACACCTTTGATGAAAGGGATCATCAGCCAGAAATGAATTAACGGATACAGAATGTATCAATAAATGAACAGTTAATGAAAACGGTGAGCACACCAGGACCTCTGGATTACCTCTGGATATAACAGTGTGTTTTAATATTTTTAAAGCTGAAAGATTTGGCAACAATTTTCATAATCGATTCCTAATTTAAGTCATTTTTAGAGCAAAGATACCGAACGACCACAAGCTCAAGCTTCTCAATTTTGTTTCCGGTAATTAGTAAAAATAATGTTGGCGTTTTTGGATGGTTGGTCGGACAAAAGATGTCAAGATGTTCCCTTCGGCTTAAAGAAGATCAAATAGTTAATTAAATATTTGTGAAAACAGTCAAAACGATATCATTGTTAGCTGCAGCACTGTTAGAAACCTGTTGTTTTTAAAGAAACAATTAGTCAATTAATCAATTAGTTGATGAACAGAAAATTAATCTGCATTTTTTTTAACAAATGATTAATAAAGATATTTTCCAGCAAAAAACGCTTAAAATGAGAATCATTCATGATAGTTTCATTTATATTTTAAAAACCTTTGATCATAAGTCTGTTTACAGTCCTTCATCCATAATAGCTGGTTCTATATAAGAGTGTTTTTCATATATGTTTCAGATTCATTCATTTGTATCATGTTTACGTATTTTAACCTCATTATTATATGTACTTCACTGAAAGGTTGTAACTTTGTTTTACTCATCTGTTACTGTTGAACATAAAGATATTTGGACTTCTAAATATCACTCAGCATGGAGTGGATTTGCTTTCTAACACATCTGCATCAATATAACCAGCATCTGTGGGATTGATTTGAAATATCAAAGCATTTACATTTAAATCACGAAAAACACGGAGAATATGCAGATCGTGCTGGTGCAGCGGTGTGCACACAGACAAGGCTGGACTACGACCAACCAGTGTCGATACATAAAGAATACCAATATAAATATCAACACTAATCGATGCTAAGGATGCACAGACAGGTACCTGGATTCTGGGGTCCACTTCCTCGTCGTCGTATTCCGCCTCGTCATCCGACCTGAGCTCCTTCTCTAAATGATCCATGTTGGAGGTGAAGGACAGATGTAAGGAACCCGAACAAAGAGACGTGACAACGGGGCGCACAGAGACCACAGGCTCCTCTGTCTCCGGCCGGGCACCAGACGTCGGATTCACGAGTTATTTTTATTTATTTTTTACTTCGACGTCCACGGATTGTATGAATTCATTTTAAAATAATAAATGTTGTTTTTTTTCTCGAAGAGGAACATCGCGGCTTGTATCCACCGGCGGTTCCGAGCAGCAGCAGCGTGTCTCGCGCTCAGCTCCCCTCCACACTGAGCCCGGTGCTGAAATGTGCACAGCTCTGCCTCAGACCGGGAACGCCCCCTTTGTGAGTGTCTGCAGACTAGAGTGTATGACAGGTAATTAGTGCCGTGTTGTGGCGAAACCAGGCGGCAACCTCAGGTGCTACAGAGTGAAGCCAATGCCTACTGTCCACCAGGGGGCGACTCCTCTGGTTGTATAGAAGTCTATGAGAAAATGACTCTACTTCTCTCTTGATTTATTACCTCAGTAAACATTGTAAACATGAGTTTATGGTCTCAATCTCTAGTTTCAAGTCTTCTTCAATACAGCATGATGTTCATTTAGTACATTATGGTCCATTTAGAGTCACACAGACCAGGGGATGCTTTAGGGGCGGGGCTACACAGTGATTGACAGGTCTCTACCAGAGACGTATACGACGTCTCTACGTCACTCCTCCTCAGTCCAAATATGGTCACTTCATTGTTTGCGGAGATAAACAATCCTCTCTGCTGGTGCAGTTGCCATGGCAACACGCGCCAACTGATGTTAGCCTACATTAGCTTAGCTTAATAAAAACGGGTCGCCATACTATTACAATTCGGCATTTTTTTAATAAACCAATTACAACTACCAACAGTCATACATTCAAGGACCTTAACATATTGTCACATATTGTCAAATAACGACAAATAAAGGCTAAACTGCCGCGGCACCTCTCACACACAGTGGCGGTGAGCTTGCAACAGGAAGTGCCTCTACTAGCTGCCGCGATTTGAGCCCTTTCTCTAACAAACACACACACACACACACATGGCCTGAACAGTTTCAGTTTCAAGATTCCCTAAAACCACCATTTTCCTTGATTTGACCCACACTGGTAGATCTAAAATCCATCTCAGTAGATACGGGTCGAATTTGACCCAGTTTACAAACATGTGTAGCACCTGTACGAAAGTATAACATTTTAAGATATTTTCATTTGTGTACTTTGGGTCACTTTAGCAAAAGTCATCACATTTCAGGCTAAAAGTGACGTTTAGGGTATTTTTACTGCGGTCAAATGTCAAAACGGGTGAAGTTTGACCCGAACAGTGTGTCAGGTTAAGAGTAAATATATTCTGTCATATAAACCAAACTGCTCTGTGTAACCGGAGCTGAGGGATGAGAACAGCGCGCAGTTGCCTCCGTTGTCGTTCGTTCTCCTCTTTTGATCGAGAAAGTTCCTCCTCGTACTCCGCTATGGTTCTTTCAAACAGACCACAGATCTCCTCAGCAGCCGCAGTTAGCCGCTGGTTGACTAAAGATCTCAGCATGTTAACTTTAGACATTCTCACTAAACCACAGAAACTTCTCCTCCAGATAAACTAACCGTTAATTGAAAACGTTCCTGCTAGCAAGCTAACTTCATTAGCTCCGTAGGACCCGTGCGGTGACGTGAGCCGTCATCCGCGCAGCCTCGGTGACGTCAGCCGGCCCTTAAAATTGAATGCTCGTCTATTCGTGGTATTACGGTACGGGTGCTTTACTGGCCCGGAAATAGAACAATTTATCTAATTTGATATAACAAGTCAAAAACGACATATTTTGGAACATTATCTGAAATCTAACTACAATAAAATCTGAAGTTACACTACTGTACTCTTTTTAAATTAAAAAATGGTTCGAAAATTATATTATCAAATATGAAAAAATGTCGATTTTTGAGAAAATTAAAGGCAAAATCAGGTCAAATAGCATTCATTTTCATAATTCCCTCATATTTGGACTTTGATTATAAAAATTCCTTCAGAGGTTGTATTACACTTTCACTGGATTGTTGTTCATGAGCACTATGTCCATGTCTAATTTCAATAACATCATGGTACACATTAAATATTATAGGAATACTGGGCTACTGTTACGGCCTATTTAGTGTGCCTAGGGGTACACGGGAAGTAACATAACAGGTGATAGAAAACCTTGGCAAAATGTTTCACAAAATGAAAGGATGAGGCGGCTGCAATCAGTGACATTTATTGGCTGAGTATGGATGAACAGGAACAAACCAACTACCTTGGAAGCTAATGTCATTTTCAAACCCTTTTTCAATAAAAATAGTACAGTAGTTACAGTAGTGTAACTTCAGATTTTATTATAGTTGGATTTCATATAATGTACAAAAAGACGTTTTTTGACTTGTTATAACAAATTGGACAAATTTTTGCTTAAATATATGTAATGACACACTCAAAGCAAAGTGTGACTCTGTGGGCGCTGCACAGCTTCATCCCCGAAACAATGCCTCAACTCAGCCTACATGCTGCTCAAACGCTCTGCGTGTTGAATACACTTATTGTAAGTTGCTGTGGATAAAAGCGTCTGCTAAATGACTGTAATGTAATGTTTGGAAGCACATACCTGTGTGAGCAGCTTTTCTCTGTGATGAAGATGAACAAAAACCCACACAGGAGTCGTCTCACTGATGCACACCTTCACTCCATCTTGAGGGTTTCCACAGCACAGAACCTAACCCCACACATGTGTGACCCGGTGATACTTAATGCACAAGACCCTGAATAAACTGGAACTAGAGACTGCGATACTGAAAATATAGATTTTATTAACAATGCACGGCTTAATTAAAAGACTCGGCTTTAAAATCAATTCATAAATCAAAACAAATGAACAAGAAAAGAAACAAACACCATCAGGGAGGTCAGTGTAGAGTTAGGTGGAAATAAAGGAATTTGTCACAAAACATGTAGGCAAATTATAACTAAACCACTGCACGCTAAGGTGACTCAACCCACACAATCAGATCTGCATGTAAGATGCCAACTCTACCACTTGGTCCCCTTCAGCACAGCACAAAGAAAATAAACAGAAAATGGCCCATTCAATAGATTTGTTTAAAAGGCACACTAAATCTAATAAGTATGGGAAAAACAATGGTTGGCTGCTCGAGTGTCTTTATTTAAAACTAAAAAGAAACAATACATTAAACAAAAGGGAACCGTCACACAAACATTTGATCAAACATGCAACGTAAATAATCTACCTTTCTAGACTGGACACCGTCCCCTCTCCCAGTTGAAGACATGCCGGTGACTAGAATCTACATTCATAACAACCATGTTCATATTGTGTTAAGGGGACTAAACCTGTGTAAAAACATGTTAGTTCTGCTTCAGCGCACCTTTCTTCTTGGCTGATGTGCCGAAGCAATCACTCCAAGTTTTAGTCCCTCACCAAACATCAATCTAGCAGATAACACATGTTTAACCATTATCTCACAAACATCTCACATTGTTTCTCCAATTTCACGCTTAAAATCATGCTTTTAAACACATTTATAAAAGGAAAGAACGAGAGCCCACCAAACAGGTAGCTGGCCTCAGCTGCTCCCTCAGGTGTGTCTGGGTTCAGGAGGAAAGGCCCAGGTGAACCCCCCTCCCCCTTTTTATAGACTCTGCCCCCTGTTGCCGGGGTCCTAATGGCAGGCTGCCTGTTACCTGCCTTCCCACACATTAATGAACTGGCAGCCAAAAAAAAGCCAAACATCTCTGGTACAGAATGTAGCCTATTTGTTTTCTCCAATATCCATTATGTCCTATTTATTAAATTTTGACCCTATTTGGCCCTCAACGTAGTCCCAATATTTAATTTTATCTGTGATTGAGTTTGACACCCCTGCTGTAGGGGAACTACAGTGGACGACATGAAAACACGGAAACTCAAACGGCCCTATCCAGAGCCGGTGTTTGGTTTGTTCGTTCTGGGCTACTGTAGAAACATGGCGGCCGGCTCAGTGAAGAGGACCCACTCCGTATGTCTCATTTTAAGGTAACAAAAACACAAGGATTCTTATTTTCAGGTCATTATAAACTAAAGAAAACTTACTAAATAATATTATATTCCATTTCTGCTAATCGATCCCCCTGAATGCTACACGCTGTACCTTTAAATGGTTGTTGCCATTAACATTTGAATTGCTTCACACAGAACAGTGGTCTTCTGGGTGAAAGTCCTGTTTTTGTGTGACCCATAAATCCACCCCAACCTCCTCCGTATGCGACGTTATCACTCTTTATACAACGTCACCTGACTTACTCCTTTGCTCCAATCATAATTAGTAAGACAACTATTCTGAACCTCCCTGCGGTGTTGTGTGAGTCTTATCGAGGCAAGGCAGAGTTGGTGTGCAGTCTCATCTCACACATCCAATAGTTTAGTTGGTAACAGGCGCCCAGGAACCAGGTCTTCCAGGTAGATGAGCCTTTGGCAACATAGGCACATCTGTAAAGGGAATGGCTCCAATACGCTGGGTTCCTATTGTTCCAGTTACTACAAAACAACACAAAAATAGTGTTTTGGTGGATTTGGTGAAGGTGGAACAGTGCAAGACAGTTCTGGGTTGACTGTGTTTGTTTGTGTCTGTATTGTGTGTTAGCACTGTGATAGACTGGTGACCTCTCCAGTAACTTTGGTTTAAAAGTCCAAGCTTTTAGATCGGTCTAGGTCACATACATCTGTTGTTTTGATAGAATTTCAGTGACTAAATGTCAATGTGTAATTAGAACATGCTTCACAATGTAATATGGTAATGTCAATTACTGCTGTTATCAGGATCATAATTTTATTCAATAACATTTAAAAAACCTTACGTATAAGACGGTGGGCGTCCATCTACCAATGAAAACGTCCACGAGTTGGATGACCTCTGACCAGCCAAGCCAATCCACATTTTGACAGAACATCCAAATATACGGACATTTTCCTGTTGGCAAGGAAGTGCAGTGAATGAATGAACTTGCTGCAAGGTACAATCTGTATATTAGGTTTATATAAGAAAAATCACAAATACCTCTTCCCTTTCATCATTCAAGATCACCAAGTGGGATCCCTTGCTTTCACAGTCATCTACGGCATTGTCCCAGGTGCCTGTCGTAGAGGAAAGCTGGTAACAGGTGGACATGTATGTATGCCATCCTGGGGGACAACTTTTGGGTTGTTGGTCTGCTCAGAAACAAGCACAGGACAGGACATATCAGGGCAAGATGGGGCCGGAACGGGCAAGTCAAGGTTGGACAAGATGGGACAGAAAACAAGAAACAAAAGTACAACACAGGAGAGTAGAGGACAACACAGGGCAGAACGGTAAGAGTAAAGACAGTTCAAGATGTGGTCACAGCAAAACAGAACAAGTCAGGACAGAACTGATCAGGGTACGACAAGACAGGACATAACAGAAAACGGGACAGGACAGGAGAGGAGATGAAAAGATAGAAGAGAAACAAGACACAATGATGAAAAGTCAGGGGATCACAAAAAGTCTTTGTCTGGGAACCATGACATGTCTGGACAAAATGTGGTGCCAATCCTTCAGGTAGTTGTTGAGATATTTTACAGGATAAGAGAAATCTTTGCTGGTTGCGTTACAGGAAAAGTCAGGGGACCACCAAAGTCAGAGGGGTTCTTCCCCTGTAGACCATGAATGCCTGATGAAAATGTCATGGCAATCCATTCAGTATATATCGATATATTTTAGTCTGGACCAAAGTGGTGGACTGACTGAATGACATTGCCAACCCTAAAAATATATGAATTAATACAGGTTTCAAAAAAGAAAACTAACTCACACATTTCAAGTTCCTTTATCTGATTTTGTTGTTTGATGAGCTTCTCGTTTTTAAAGCCGTTGTCAATTGCTAGTTGGTCGCTATAGACAACCAGTTGGTCTCTCTCTTCAACCAGTTGGTCTTTCGTTTGAACCAGTTGGTCTCTCTCTTCAGCCAGTTGGTCTTTCGTTTGAACCAGTTGGTCTCTCTCTTTAACCAGTTGGTCTCTCTCTTTAACCAGTTGGTCTTTCGTTTGAACCAGTTGGTCTCTCTCTTCAAC